CGTATCGGGGAAAACGAAGGCCTAGGGCGGCCGCATGCTGCTTCATCGCGTTCTCCAAGAAGGTACACCATTAGAACCGCTCGTCCACGATCACCTTGCAGGCGCGAAGGGCGCCCGACACCTGCGGGTGCCCTTGATATGTTGGGCCCGCCACCTTCCGTAGCACCGCCGCATGTTCTTCGTCTTGCTGACCGCTCTGAAGAGCGCCCTGCTGGTCAGCGCAGGAGGCGGGGCCAGCAGGGGACGCCCCCGCAACCATATGGCGAATGCAATAGATAGCCACCCCCCCCCGTACTGCCGCGGTACCTGGGCGCGAGGACAGGGCGAGGATGGCGGCGTTCAAAACCCCCAAGTGTTCAATCATTGCTGGCGGATCGATCACCTGAGCGCGCCCACCGTTGCCTCTCGGCATGGCCCCCCTCGAGCCCCACCGCCGCGCCGAAGGACTGCGCGTGGGCAAGGTCGACGTCGAGGGCTCCTGCTGCTGCTGCCGTGATGGGCCGATCGCCCATGCAGCGGGTTCCCTGGCGTGGCTGCTGCGGTGCCAATGACGACATCATCACGCTCGGAACACCTCAGTCTCCTCGTGGTAGCCCTTGCTTTGGCGCCGGCGCCTGAGCCGCGCGGCAATGCCTCGGCCCCCGCCAAGCAGCGAGCGCCGTGCAGGTCACCGCAGGCGGGGCCCTACTGCCCATGCAACTTTGGGCACCATCCGTGAAGTCGACGTTGCCGCAGGCTCTGCTCCTGTCGAGCTCTGCCTCAAACACAGCGGGCGCGCAACGCCGCAGTCGCGGGGCCAGAGCGAGATGGCGTGGACAACCGAGACCTTGAGGCGACCTGCGTACTGATTATCAGGTGGCTGCGGCATACTCCTGGCCAACGCTGGCAACCATCCTCGAACCAGAGTCGAGCCCGCGCTGATGGGTCGAAACTCCGTCTCTTTCTGGGGGGCGCCCACCGACCTCCAAAGGAAAATGGCGCTCCGCGAAGGGCCGTGAGGTGACGGACCACGCCCCATGCAAATCCAAGATAAGAACAGGAAACAACCGTCGTAGTATCTGGAGCCCTTCTGACGCCCATCCATCAAGGCCAGGAGCTCCATTGCAATTCTCAATATTTTAATCCAAGGACTCGAAGGTAGGAATCCAAACGTCGCTCTTGTCACTCTGCGGGGGATCCACGTTCGCCGCCCACTCCTGCCAGGGCGTATAATGGCCGGCAGCGTCGCGGGAGTCAGCATCTGGAACCCATTGATTTGCCCGACATTGTCTCATCCCACTCGCGTCGGACGGCGCCGTCGGTGGGGCAGCGCGAACCATGGGCGCAGCTACTCGGTGCACGTCGGATGACCACGTAGCAAAACGCATCCTCCACTCTCGAGTATGCGAGGCCTGTATATTGCCCTGCTCTTTAGAAATAGCCCCAGACAGCACGTTGGGCGCCTCGCTGTTGGTCGGGGCTCCGTGCAGCGGGATCTCCAGGATCCCTCCATCGCAGCTCGGGCCACCCGTTCACGCAGATGGCCATCCGGCGAGGACTGAGGGTTCAGGGCATTCATACCTTTGAGCTTCTCTGACGCCTGGCGGTGTAGTCTGAGTAGCCGTGGCAATGCAATGCTCTCCGCCAGCCTGGCAGGGGGCCCGAGCGAAGTCGGTCTGGGTGAGGCCTCGGAACCCTTCGGCCTCTCAGCAAACCTCGAAACATTAGCGCAATCCTCCTCCAGCGCCAGCTGCAGGGCGGTCTCCACCCTCTCGTGCCAGTGCTTCCAAACCTTCGCCGGGCCATCGTTGGCCGTGTTGTATAGGGGCGGATCGATCGGACTCGGCATGCTCTCATCAAGCTCGGCCCTTAACTCCCCCATCAGGTCGTCGGGCTCGGGGGGGTGGTCCGAGGCATGCATGGCGGTGCGGCGTTAACGAGGCTGCAGGCGATGATGCATCGGCTCCTGCAGCTCATACTTGACGAGACCATGTGAAAGGTAGACATGCCTGTGCACTTCGGCAGCGCAGGCGCAGGGGGGCCGTGGCACAGGCACCTCGCCGGCGAGGTACCATCCGAAGTAGTAGCTCACAGCGCAAACGTCTGGGGGCATCCAGGCCCAAGTGCACTATTGCACGCAGGTCGCCAGTTGATATCTCCAACCAGATACGTCGGCACTCCCTGCGCAGCCAGCTTCTGCGCGCACCCCAGGAAGCGCCACCGCCAGGTGACGTCTGAATCTACTGGGCCGCGCGCAGACATGTAGATAGCTCGCTCCGCCCTGACGCCAACCATGCGATGTCCATAAAACTTCTCGCGCATCGCAGACACTTTACCCGCGCGCGAAAGCCCCCGAGCAAGAGCGCATCCACCCTGACGAACAGCGCGCCTGCATGATGGAGGCGGCGGCGGCGAACAGACTGCAGACCAGCCATACTTTTGGGCAATTGAGAACCCAGCGGGGCCGTTCGCCCCGCTGGCGAATCTCTCGAAGAACATGGAAATGCGATCCACCCGCGCCTCGGATGCATTTTTCCACGCGAGCCCTGGTCAAGGGCGTCGCGCCGATAGTAGCAATCTCCGCCTCTCCAGCTGACTCTCAAATATCACCCCCCTCCGATCAGGCGGCCATCTCAGAGGCGAGGTAAACCGGCGGGAGGCGTGCGCAAACCCAAGGGCGCCGCCCAGCTGAGACGGTCGGAGGCGACTTTGAACCTGCGCAAGGAAGCATTTGATACGTGCACTGCATATGGCCATCCACGCACAGGAAGACAGTAATCCAAACCGCAGGGCGCAACATTGAGACCGTGACAAACTGGCGCAGCGCACTTCGCTTGAAACTGGTACCGACCACGCGCGGCATGAGGGCGTCGGCGCGGAGGTCTGCGGCCCCCACCCTCATGCCGACGCGACGCTCGTCAGCAGGAGGGCCCTGGCCTGCAAGCCTGGGCTGCCGCAGCGCGCGGAGCTTCACCTTCTTCCTGGGTTTGATATGGCCGCGGCTGATCGGATCTCACGCTGACGCATGCGCATCCTCTCGTTAGCTCCTCTCAGCCTCCTGCGACCGGGTTGCGCGCCACTTGCGGCCCTGGGCCTCGCGTCTCTCTCGCCCCTTCTGGAACTCTTTCTGCCCCAGCAAGTGGGTGTAGGTCTGCTTCGTGGTAGGCGTCAGGTATGCGGCCATCCTGCATGATGTCCTCGCACGGCGAGCCGTCGACTTGGCCGATCCGCATCTGACACAGGCGCGCACTGCGACGATGCACTTCCCCTGCTTTGTGGACGCCGCCGCGCCCTCAGAGGTAGAGCACGTGTTAAGCTGAATCCTGCTCGGCGCCTTGTCGTGCCAATCCTTATACTTCTTCCAAGCGCGAGCCCTCGACCCTGTTGCCAGCACCTGTTACAAGCGGTTCACGACCAAAACATCTCTTCGGCGCAGCTGGAGGACGTTCGCCCACGCGATGACGCTGGTGGACCACTGCCTCCTGCCGTCAAAATATTTCCGCGAGCTCCTGTCGGCATCCACCCACAGGTCGGGCACTTGAGGTTTGACCCCCGTCCCTGGGACAAGTCGATCTCGGCCAACTTCTCCCCCTCAGGCGTATCATCCTCCTGTGGAATTCCAAGAGAGATCCGCGCCTTCCTCGATGTATTGCGAGACGGCTTCGACCTCGGCGTCTCCATGGTACCCAGGAACGATGTGGCCTCGTCCTCGGCATTCCTCGCGTTGTCCAAACGAGCGGACACGGACTTCGCCCTGCCACCCCCTCCATGTAGTGGGTCCCGCCGCCCGTGAAGACGTCGGGGTATGGCAGCGCGCGCTCCTTCCACTCCTGCAACGTGGCCTTCGGCACCTCCACCGTCGGCACCAGGCTGCGGTACTGCTTGTCCTTCAGCGTCAGCCAGGCGAGCGGGCGCTTGGACGATTCCGCCCTTGGTGTAGGCGGCATATACAATACCCATCTCTCATCCGTCTTGTCCGAGTCCTGACCAGAGCTTACGTCGCCGATTGTCGCAGTCCCCGATGTAGTACTTCTGCACCTTCATGTCGCCCAGGTGCCCCACTCCTCCTCCGAGTCCGACGGCGAGTCCTGCTCCTGGTTGCCCTTCAACTTCGCCTCCTTGTCCAAGTACCTGGCGCGCACTTCTTCGAATCCAGTTGCCGCCTCGCCAGCTTCCTCTTCTGGTAGATGGCCAGCCACTGTTCCGTCATCTCGTTATCCTTCCTCTCCTTCTCCATCTCATTCACCTTGTTCCGATGTCCCCTCTTGGGATTTCCCTTCATAATGCCCGCCGAAAGGGTGATGCCCTGCTTCTGCGAGTCCTGCGGTTCACCTGCCTGCAAGGCCTGTAAGTTGAGTGCCTGTACTGGCGCTGGCTTCGAACAGAGGCGGCACTCCGCCTTGAAGGCGAAGTTCACGTGTTGGCAACGCGGGCTCGGGCACGGCCATTTCTGGATCAAAATTTTGCCCACCTTGTCAAACGGTGGAGCCATGACCTGCTCCTGCGAGCCTTTCTTGTGGCTCTTGTCTTCGATTCAGGCGCCCTCCGGTAACTAGCCAACGCCTCCGCGGCAGTGTCCGTGGGCGCCTCTCGGAGGCCAGAACCTCGAGACTACGCGCTTGTCGGGCCCCTTTGCTCGATCCAGGTGTCCTTGATGCCGTAGCCCAGCTAAGGCCCGGCAGTCGCCATCACACACGACCACGCTGACGGCCTCCGCCATGAAGCCGCTCGCGAAGCTCGTCAGCCTCTCCCCGAGCTGCTCCGTCAGCAAGCTCGCGAAAATGTGGAATTGGAGCATCAGCGCGCCGAGCTGGACACCATGGCTCGCCTCCGCTGCGCCGTCCTGAAGGGCGCGGAAGCAGTCCCAGCCACCTGGGCCAGGACAGCTGGGAGGAGGAGGAGGCGGAGGAGGAGGAGGAGCAGGAGCAGGAGGAACAGGGGGAGCAGGAGGGAGGAGGGAGGACAAGAAGAGGCGAAAGAGGAGGAGGGAGAACGAGGACGAGGAGCTTCTCGGCACCGGCCTGCGGATCGTCGGCGGGCCGGCGTCGGGGCTCCGGGAGGCCGCGGCCAAGGCGCGCTGAAGGCCCCGCCACGAGGCCGTGTACTCGCCGAGGGCCTTCAGGTCGGGGCGGCGCGGGGGGGCGGGAGAGGGGGGGAGACGCGAGGGCCAGGGGGGACGGAGGGGGTGCCCTGAGATCATGGCTTCTCCATTTTTTCGAGCGGGCCGCTTTCGCTTGTTTTCGGGCCCTGGGGCCCTCGCAGATCGATCTGGCTAGAAAAATTGCGCGGAAATATGGTGTCCAGGGCTCTGGTCGTAATTTTGTTTACGATGCTACATGTAGGCCCACCCGAAGGAGGATGGTGAGGAGGAGGAGGATCAGAGTAAACCTAATATGCGTCAACGATGCTGCAGTACACGGGGCCCTCTCCTCACAAGTCTCTACAAGCCTTCCTTACGCTCCCTTGAGGTACCAGCGCCCTGTGGGCCCGCTATTCAGGCGAGAGCCCCGTTCTGGAAAAGCGCTGCTTTGCATTCCTTGGGTGAGCACTACGGAATGCGACCAGGTAGACTGTATGGCCTGACAGGGTGACCGAGATGTTCACCAAAGATCTCCACTTTGATAAAAAAAACCTACCCGACTAAATGTTGCCCGCGCTTGCAAATATGGTCATGTGATTCGAGGAGGTCTCAAGCGAGAGTCCAACTGTGGAAAGAAACCGCTTTCCATACAGCTGTTACATATGTGAGAGTTCTTGGTTTGAGCCCGAAGAAATACCAATATGAAATCCAATGCTGATAATGTGCGCAAAGGCGAGAGCCCCACTTTGAAGTCGAACCGCCCTCCATCCTTGGAGCTCCTGCCGACTTTTAACTCCAAAGCGCGCGGAACTTATGCGAGAACCCCATGTTGGCCAGGTCTCGACATCCATCCGTGCAACTGCTTCCAGCAAGTAAGAGAAACGACGAACATGCGCGTCGATGAGGCGAAAACCACATTCTAAACATCAACAGCCCTCCTGTTGCAAGATTGCAAAACAGTGTGCGCGGAGCTAAGGCGAAATCGCAATTTAAAAAACACCTCCCCTCCATCGTTGAAGCTGGTTCAAACTTGAACGACGAATGTGAGCGGCTTTGGCGAAGGGGCGAAGGGCCTCGTTTTGAAAACGTTCCGCACTCCATCCTGCAAGCTGTTGCGAATCTCAAGACTGAAGGCAATCATGAGTGAAGGAGTTTCAGGGAAAACGCCCCGCCCGTCCTACTGACACGACCGGGGCCGTGACAGGAGGGGGTTCACATGAATCAGCCGACCCCCGCTTGCAGGGGGTGAAAGGCGTGTGAGACATTTGGCTGTCCCTCTCCCCCTTTTCCCCTTCCCTGGGGGTCCAAAATGTCGTTCAAGGGGTGAGGGGGGCACACGAGCACTCCTGGGGCCTTCAGGGCCTTCAAAAGCCCCCAGAAGGCCCCAGAGAGTCCAAACAGCTGCGTCTTTTCAGCGTCCACGACGGCCCAAGATGCTTCCAAGATGGTCCCAAGAGGGCCCATACGGCCGCCAAGAGGCCACCACGACGGCACCAGGGGTCCCCGAAGACGGCCCTGGGGAGCCCCAAGAGAGCCCTGACAGGCGTCACAGAGGGGGAAGAATACGAACTGACATTTCGAGCCTTTCCCCCAAAGATGGTCCCAAGAGCCCTCAGAGGCCCACACGAAGCTCTCACGAGGCCTCGATAAAGCCCCCCAGATGCCCCAACAGCGGTGAGTCCTTAAACTCATTCACGAGGCCTCCCCACACACCATGGCCCCACAAACCTCGAACGTCTCCCTCAAGCTGGAGGCCAACACGCGGAGGAGTCCTCGACGACGACCGAGATGCCCTCAAGACTGCCGAGAGGAAGACCCAAGACATGAGAATCGTTCCGCCCCCTCGGAAACATTCGTTTGAGCATATTCGCATTCTTGGTCTGTGCAGCGTCCATGTCGGCTCAAGAGGTCACCAAGATGTCTCCAGGACGGCCCAGGCAACCCCAAACAGGGCCTCCAAACAAACGAAGAGTCGCGCAAGATGGTCCCGGAGAGCCCCAGCAGGGACCCAAGTGACGCCCAAGAGAGGTAACTCGAACTAACCTTCCACACACTCCGCCCCAAGAGAATCCCCCACACCGCTAGCGACGCCCAAATGACTCCCCAGAAGCCCCGTGACGCGCCCAGGGCGCCAACAAGAGGCCCCCAAAGGCCTCACCCGTCGACTTCGTCCTTCTTCTGGGGGTCGGCAGAGTCACGCAAGCATCTCGAATAAGAAGCAAGGAAGGAGGGAGATGATGATGAGGCAGGAAGGCGGAGGGAGGACGGAGTGCGGGGGAGCCCTTCCCTCCTCCTCAATCTCCCTCCTCCTCCGAGCGGCTTGATTTTTCGTAGGGGAACTTGGGGATTGGGGGCGAAACATCGACTGCGACCCTCCATCGGCCGCGAGCCCACAGGGGGAAGGCGGAAGGGTCGGGCCTCCTCAGAAGGCTCGGAGGTCCTCTGGTCTCCTGAAAAGACTGCGAAGGCCTTACAGCCGGTGCCGCCGACCCTGAAAACGACGAAGATGAAAACGAGGGGGGTCAGGGGGAGGAGGATGAGTGGGAGGTGGAGGAATTGAGCAGGGACCGACCGTCCTGGCATTCCTATAGTCCTACCACGAAATGTTCTTAGAACCCCAAAAATGTTCTAAGAACAAAAACCAGGTTCTTAAAACATAAACCCAATGTGAAAAAAACCAAGACAGACTCCGCCAGAAAGGTTCTAATAACATTTCGTGGAAACCACAAAAGGTTGTTAAAACATTGTTTGTCTAGAGGCGAGCCAGGACGCTTCGCCACTGCTTGAAGGAAGAGTGCAGGTCCTCTGGCCTCCCGAAAAGACATCTCTAGCCTTCTCCCAAGACACCGGCGGCTTCTACGAAGGTCGGAAGGCCTGAGCGAAGCCCCGCCGCCTTCCGAGAGGGCCGGCGCCCTCTCACTTCCCCCCTGGGCTCGCTACCGATTCCCCCTCGCCCTTGGGGACACGAAGAGGTACCGATACCGCTGCTTCAAAGACCTCTCCTGGGACCAGAATCTCGAGGCAAATCCAGCAGTGGCGACGAGGGCCTCCCAGGAAGCCCGAGAAGGGGAAAACGAGAGAAGGGTACCGGTATCGGTACCTTTTCCTCCTCTGAGCCTTGTCGTAGTCCGCGCCCATGTCCCTCACCGGGTGTACCTCCGAGCACCGGCGCGCTCTCTCGCGGGGAATGGGCGGCCCGCCGGAGAGGCCGACCTCCACTCCTGGTTGCGGAGGGGGGCGGGCCCCCGCGACGTCTGGAGATCCTTTTTATGCTTCGGCGAGGGGGAGGGGGGGAGAAGGCGCCGGCCGATAACCTAACCTTATCGCTTTGGGCAGCCCTACCCCTGCCCGCGCAACCCACCACTGCCCACCCCCATCTAACCTGTGCAACCGACAAGGTCAGGCTATCCCGGGGAGGGGGACGGGAGGGGGATGGAAAGGGGGTGCAGGCCCGATAACCTGGGTTATCGCCGTACCCTTACAAACACTCTCCTGGGGCACCCGCCATCATGCGAGTCACAAATTCTCAGGCGGCCCAAGATCGCCGGATCCACATCCCTCGACATCACGAGGGTCATAGCAGGCCGCAACAGCTGAAACTTCGCAGCTCCGTAGCCGCCGCAGCCGCGGGGGAAGAATACCAACTCTTTCGCCGCCAGGAGCGCTGTCCCGCCCCTGAGAGAACACGGTTTCTGGGGCTAACATTATTGGGGCGACAGGTGGGGCCGTCGCGCCGCATCGCCGATGCATCGGCGATGTGGCAAAATCCTCCAACCCCATGTGCCTCGACTCCACTTTTGAGGCCCAGAACGTCGCCAGCCCGGCCCAGACATCCAAAGATGTGATGTTTTCAATCGCGGCGCATTGTCTCGACTTCGGTGTCCGGGGGCTGTTTTTCGGGCCACTGGGCAACGAGACATAAACTGGAGCGAAACACGCTGCCCCGCGGGAAATATTCGAGACATCTGGAGCCGCGGATCGAAAGTCACATGGGGGAGGGACTCATCTGGACATCTGAAGATATACCCGGGGCTCCGCTCTGGGGCGCATGGTGCGCACTAGGCACCTGTACACCACCACCACGGCCCAGGGCCATCCTGGGCCCCAGGATGATGTGGGACTGCATGCTGTCGCGGCCGCTCCTGGCCGAGGCCAGGAGGGTCGATGCACTATGTCAGGGCCCAGGATGGCCCTGGTCAGCCATGGTAATGCATAGATGATCACAGATGCCTCCTGGGCCCACGGATTGAAAGAGTCGCGACGTCAGAAATCCGCGGGCATCTTCGGATCGGTGCGGGCTGAGCTGGGCCTGCATCCAGAACCACGTCGATCCACATCGGATCACTTACATTTGTCTTCTATGTCTGCGAGCCGATTGTCGGGTGTGACGAAGGAAGGAGAGGCATGTGCTTGGACGAGGGGGGGGCGGGGCAGGGGACGTGCTGAAGGAAGATGGGGCCACGAGCCCCGTGAGATCTCATGGCCCTGGCAATGATACGTACCCCCCCCAAGGTCCTCGACCCCCTCTTGGCCGCCCCCGAGATTGCAGAAGAACAACCGGACCCGTCGTAATAGAACGGCGCCCATGCACCGTAACATGTTCGGACTCCCGTCGGGCCTCGCTCGAACACGGTACGGTGCACAATTCCCAACCATCCTGTGGTGTCGAATCCTAATTTTGAAAGAGCCAACGCCCCGCGTCTCCTTCTTTCTCTCCCGCTGCCCTCACCCCTCCTCCCATCCCCCCCGTATGCCCATGTCGGCGCGCCCCTCACACGTTTTGTGGCCTTGTTACACCCCTCACGCGCTTCGTGGCCCCACGAAGGCCAAATGCCAGGGTCCGCCCGCCGCGCCCATTTCGGCAAAACCCTCACACGCTTCGTGACCCTGAAGGGAGTCCCTCCGAAGGCCCACATGCCAGGGTCCGCGTGCCACCGCCGCCCCATGTCGGCTCACCCTTAACACGTTTCGTGGCCCCGCACGGAGCTCCAACTCAGGTCCAAATGCCAGGGTCCGCAAGCCACTGTCGTTCCATTTCGGCGCACCCTTACACGTTTCGTGGCCCCATAGGGAACTCCAACTAATGCCCAAATGCCAGGGTCCGCATGCCACCGCCCCTTGCACGTTTCGAAGTCCCATGGGGAGCCTCACCGAATTCGTCCCACCTGCCCTGCGGTGGTACTCGCGCTTAGATATGGTTTGGGTATTGCAAGGGTACGGTATTGCTTCTGCCCTGAAGGCCTAAAAAACATGCAACGCACCAGTCCCGGGTCGAGGATCGACGACGCCTCGGGAGACACCAACGCGGTACGGTGCATTATGGTATTCCGCAGATCTCAGCCGCACCCCAACGGTGGCGCGCAGAGCGCCCTAGGGGTGCCGCCGGAGGATCCGGCCGCGTCGCCGATGCATCGGCGACACCGTCTATGCATCGGCGACGTCGACGTGGAGAAAGCCGGGTTCCTGATCGAGCCGCATCGCCAGTGCATTGGCGATGCGGCGCGATCCTCCGACATCATCTGCTCGGGCCCCGTCTGGGAAACCTGAACTACTTGGGGGGGGTGGCAGTTAAGGCCAGCTGTGATTACTCGGTGGGCCTGTGGAGGCCAGCCGAAGCCTTCCCAACGGCACGGCCCCGCGCCGCTGCAGCCCGCGCGCGCTGGGACGCTGGGCGCCGCGCGCTGTGGACCCTGCCGGGAAACAGCCCTTCGAAGTGCGCCCTGATCGCCTCTCGGGCTGGCGGTAACAGGGGGGGGACCCAAATGGGGGGTGAAGAAAAGGGCCCTACAGGAACCCTTTAGGGTCCCTCGGAGCCAGCAGGGGCCCACAAGGGCCCCTAAAGGGTCTCTTGAAGGCCCTTCTCTTCGCCCTCCATGTAAGTCACCCCCACATTACCGCCCGCCCCGAGCCTCCACGGTGCGGCTGCCCTCCGGGACGCGCCTCCCGAAGGAGCGCTGGCTGCGCACCAGCACCAGGGGAGGAGGAAGCTGCACTGGCACAAGCTTGCGGAGCTCCGCGCAGATTTCCTGCGTCGGCGCTGGGCCCCCACTCGCGACGCCTCGGGGCCGATCCAAGAAGTCTGCGCAGACCTCCGAACATGTATCGGCGGCGAGCCCAGCGAGAAGTAAGAGGGGGCAGGCTTTCTCAGAAGGCGGCGGGCTTCTGAGAAGCCCTCGCGCTTTCTGCGAAGCTGTATAAGCCTTCTCCAGATAGCCGCTGAATTCTGAGAACCTCTCACACTTCCCTCCAGGACTCGCCACCGAACGTATGCCTATGCGACTCCTTCCTCTGCTAACAACCGGTCCTGGCCAAGCCCGTCCCTGGGCCCAGGATAGGCGAAGACGCCCTCCTGGCTGGGCCTGGGCAGCATGCGCGACGTGCGCCGATCCTGGGCTCAGGGCTGGGCCTGGCTGGGCCCGGCGCTGGTGTGCAGTTGGCACCCTCCGAGCCTCACGAGGATGGTGGAGTGCCACCAGCGGCAGGCTCGCCTCGGGATCTTCTGTGGCAGCTCATGGGATCTTCTGTGGCAGCTCATGCTGTCTCTTGCGAGTCGACGCTAACCGACGCTAATCGGCACTATATCGACGCTACACCGATCATCGATTACCAGACGCTCCCGCACGCTCGTGTACCCTAGGAACGAAATTTCGAGGCCATACAAGGCTCCCAAGAGTTGCTAACGAATGAGACTGTTTTTCGTTATTTCCAACGGGGCCGGGCCCCGTCTAGGCTGGCCGGCTGACTGATGTCGGCGGGCAGCTCGTGCATGCACGCCCCCAACATCGCTCCAAGAGGCGCGCAAGACGGCCGAAGAGGCTGCTAAGGCGGCCCCAAGACGGCCCCATAAACCTCCAAGGTGGCTCAGAGCGCCCAGAGAGGGACTCCGAAGGCCAAGAGGTCCCCTAGAGGCCGCCAGGGGCACCAAGGAGGCCCCAGGAGGCCTCGAAGAGGCATCAGGAGGTCCCCAAGAGGTAGGTCCCTCAGAAGCCCCTCGGAGGCCCCCAAGAGGCCCCCCAGGAGAGGCGAGCGACTCGTTCCCCGGTTGAACGACTCGTTCCCCGGTTGTTCGACTCGTTCCCCGGCGGAAGTAACTCCAATTTGAAAGAACTCGTTCCCCGGTGGAGTTCCTAATTAAAACCGGCTCGCTAAGATGTCGCAACGACCATAAGCACACATGCGCCCCTTTTTACACGTAGCAACTTACGTTGCCGCCGAAACAACATGAATCCGACTGGGGAACGAGTTCGTCAGAAATGTTGTTGTACTGGTGTGTGTGTGTGTTTGTGTGTGTGTGTGTGTGTGTGGCAATGGCTTTGCACTTCTCAATGTTGGAGAACCTGCGCTTCTGAATCACCGGAAGGTGTTGCGCACGATGGACCTATCGCGAGGAAGAAGGGAAGGAGGAGGAGGAGGAGGAGGAGGAGGAGGAGGAGGAGGAGAAGGAGAAAAGGAGGGAGGAGGAGGAGGCGGAGGAGGAGGAGGAGATGGGGACGGGAAAAAAACGATGCGAAGGAAAAGGGGCGGGAGGAGGAGGAAGTAGAGGAGGAGGAACAAGAAAAATGACCGAGGAGGAGGAAGCGGATGAGGAGGAGGAGGAGGAGGAGAAGGAGGAGGAGGAGGAGCGGGAACAGAAGGGGGAGAAGGAAAGAGGATCGAGGAGGAGGACGGGGAACAAAATGAGGACAAGGAGCAAGAGAAACAAGAGGTTGATGGGCTGAAGGAAGAAAGCCGGAGAACCGGGGGAGGAACGGGATGGGGAGAAGGAGCTGGACGAGGGGAGGGACGGCGAGGACGAGGGGAAAAAAGATGAGGATGAGGAGGGGGAGGAGGAGGAGGAGGAGGAGGAGGAGGAGGAGGAGGAGGAGGAGGAGGAGGAGGAGGAGGAGGAGAAGGGGGAGGAGGAGGAGGAGGAGGAGGAAGAGGAGGAGGAGGCAGAGGAGGAGGACCACCGACCCACAACCAGCCACGAGCACAACAGCTCGCAATCCAAGAACGAGCTCCAGAAACCCACCATCACCATCAGTGCTGAGAATCGTGAATGAAAGGGGATCCGCGGTGCGGGGTAATGTCGTTGCCGCCGTCAAGCGCCTGCTCGTTTGCTCTAATCGCCTGCTAGTTTGTTCCGCTCGCCTCCTCGTTTGCTCTGCTCGCCTGCTCGCTTGTTCGTTTGTTCTGCTCGAGTTTAAATATTGTTGCCGCCTGATCGGTTGCTTTGACGCACTGTCGGTCTGAATGTTGTTTTGCCTGTTTGCGTTTTGCCTGCAACAGGGACCCTCTGGAGGCATCCCAGAGGGAGGCGCTGTGCGAGGCGGGGCCCGAGGCCTCCGGTGGTTGAGGGGGCAACCAGAAAAAAAAGGCCCAGAAGAGGAGGTTGAGGGCAGCTCCTTTCTCAAAACGGGGTTCTCGCTTGAGCACCACTCCAGGTCCCCCCGGGGCATCCCAGAGGGAGGCGCCGTGCGAGGCGGGGGCCCAGGCCTGTGGGGGCTGATAAAGGGGGCAACCAGAGAAGGCCCAGAGGGGGAGGTTGAGGGCAACTCCTTTTTTCCAAAATGGGGTTCTCGCTTGATCACTATTCCAAGTCCTCGCGAGGCATCCCAAAGGGACGTGTTGTGCGAGGCGGGGCCCGAAGCCTCTGGGGGGCTGAATGGGGGCAACCAAAGAAAGTAAGAGGAGGTGCGGGCGGCTCCTTTTTCCAGGCGGCCTAAACGATGGGGATAGCGCGCATGCGCATCTTCTCCTCCCGCGACAATGGCCCACCAGGAACGCGCGCAGACGAAGGAATGCAACCGCGGCCACCTAGCCACAAGAAGCTATACAGACGGCTTTCAGATGACTCAGAAAGCTCCCACAGAGCTCTCAGAGGGCTCTCGCCGATGAGGATGACTCCTGAATCTTCGGGATCACAGATGCCGAAGGGGAGAGTTTCGCCGATGAGAGTTTCTTCGGGATCTACTGGACCACAAATGCCAATGAGGAGAGTTTCACCGATGAGAGTTTCCTCGGGATCTACGGGTTCACAGATGCCAATGAAGAGGATTTCGCCAATGAGTTTTTCCCCAGGGCACACGGGTCCCAGATGCCTAAGAGGAGTGTTTCGCCTCAGAGAGTTTCTTCAGGATCTACTGGACCGCAAACGTCGACCCACACCTTCCTGGAGACGATGACCAGAGGTGCCACGATCTCGGAGAGTGCTGAGGCCCGTAGGTATGTGATGAGACGTGGTAGAAGGCCCCCGAGGGGGGCAGAGAGGTGGAGAGATACCTGAGAGCTCTAGGAGTTGAGGAGGGCACAGCGAGATGGCAGGCATTGAGTAGGAGCAGGCACGTTCCAGCTTCAGTGCGTAGAGGGTAGTTGTGCAGGGGAGTCCGTGGGCCTAGGCTCGGGTAACTCGTGCTCGGGTCGGGGCCCCGGGCGGTGCAGCAGTTTTTTCGGTGTAGCTTTGGGGCCAGTGTCCCCCAGGCGTTTTGGATCCTCCCCTCGAAGACAGCCTCTGGGCCTTTGAATGTTTAGGTGATAGACGAGCCTGGCCCCCACGGAGTGTTTCTTCTTCCTCTTCTTTCCTCTTGTCCTCCTCCTTCCTCTTCCCTTCGCTGCGCCCTTTCCAGTCCACCCCTCCCTTGGCCTCCTCCGACTTCCCTTTCTCCTCCTCCTCCTCCTCCTCCTCCTTCTCCTCCTCCTCCTCCTCCTCCTCCTCCCACTGCTCCTCCATCCCCTCTTTTCCTCGTCTCAGGTTCAGCTCTGCAGTCAGGTTCGGATCTAACCACATGTGAATTCCAGGCCCCCCCCACGAACCCTTAGGGCTAGGGGCCGCCGCACCGACGGGGCCCGAGAGAGGAATGAGAAGGGAGGAAAGAAGAGAGGGAGAGAGGAAGGGTCTCTTCCTCCTCTTCCTCCTCTGCCTCCCCCTCTACCCTTCGAGTAGGAGTTCGACAGCAGAATTGATGCACCCCACACTTGATCGTCGAAAATATGGCAAATTCGTAGGATGCTCCGTAGATCTACGGAGCATCCTGCGCGTTGTTCTCACAGGTTCGGCGAATAAATAAATCTTGGGATGCATCAGTTCTGCAGTCGGCCTCCTACTCGAGCCCTCTCCTTCTCGCCCCGCCTCGCTCCCAAGCCCTCTCCCTGGTTGCCCTCCTCGTCGAGGCCCGCGTCTCCTATTCTCTGCCAGCCTGATGTCCACGACCTGCTTGAGGCCTCCGCTTTGGGGGGCCGCGGGGCGCTCTGCGCCTCCCCCCCCGCCCCATGCGAGGGCCCAGGGCTCGAGAGGGGAGATCGACTACGCAATTGACGTACCCCCAACACAGCTGGCAAATCGAATCTACGACAAACAACACGCAGACTGTTCGTAAATGTTTGAAGATTCTGCGTATGTGTCCTAGATTCGGCGAATCAATAAATTCTGGGGTAACTCAACTCTGTAGTGGATCTCCTACTCGAAGGGTCGGGGGGGCGGAGAGGTGGGGTGGGGGTCAGAGGCGGGGGTTGGAGGAAAATCGCTGTAACGATTGTGTCCTGCGAGCCAATGAAATGATGGTGAACATTGCAAGCTTGAGGGAACTCCACCATGCGATGCACAAGCCATGGAGGAGAAAGATGCGGGGAAAATGGGGAATCAAGACGGAAGGAGAAAACGATGGAAGAGGAATAACACTAAATGCGTTCGCGCGTCCAGAAATCGCGCTTGGTGCGATGGCCCAAAGCTGATCACTGGAGACGCGTACCAATGTTAAACATTCAACAAGCCGTAGTGCCAACGACTGACTGAGTGGCACGGGCTGACCCATGCCGGAGCTGCAAGAGACCGAAGGTGGAGCGTTGTTGGCAATCTAAGGTAAGCTCGAAAACAAACAAACTCCCTTGGGCGAAGAACGGGCAATGCTTCGGCGGCCCAAGATCGTTGGCGACGTCGGGCGAAGAATAGCAGGGCGGGTGCCCAGGCCGAAGCTGGACGTGGCTGGAGCCGGGGCCGAAGCCACCGCTGGGGCCGAGGCCAGGGCCATGTCCAGAGCTGGAGCATGGACTGGCCAAAGCCAGGGCCGGGGACATCACCGCGGCCAGGGCCAGAACCAGAGCCGACGCCAGGGCCAGGACCGGAACCTGGGCCAGGGCCAGTGCTGGAGGTGCTGGGGCCGAGGCCGCGGCCGCGGCCGAGCCCAGCGCCGACAGGGGCCAGAGCCGTGTTGGCGAAACTGGCTACCACGGCTACCACGGCCTCCACTTCGGCCACAGCCACCGCGGCCACCGCGAATCCCGCTCCGTAGCCCTAGGCTCCGTTTTTGAAGCATTTTGGACCCCAGCTGCCGTTTCGGGCATTCTGGGTCCCAATTCCCTGTTCAGGCATTCTGGGTCCCAGGACCTGTTTCAAAAATCCTTCGGCCCCAAATCTCGTTTCAGGCATTCTGGGCCCCATGTTCCGATTCAGGCGTTCTGCGTCTCAGGTCCCGTTTCAGGCATTCTGGCCCCAGGCCCGTTTCAAGCATTCAGGCCAATTCCAAGAATTCTGGGCCTTATATCCCGCTTCGGGTATTCTGAGCCCCAAGTCCCGTTTCAGCAATCGCAAGTTACGTTTTCATCATTGTGGGCCCAAACTCACTACTTCCACGGGCGTTTGATCCGGTATCCACGGCCTGGTTCACCGCTTCCACAAGCACTTGAAACCGTTTCCACAGCTTGGTTTCCCTGGCCGCTTCCCGAGGCGGTTGATACCGTATCGACGGCCTGTCGAAGATCGAACCTCGACGAGTCGGACTAGAAAACTTGTTCCCGCGCACCACGCGGCAGGAGGAGGCTCGGGGCGGCGACGGGTCACGCTCGTGCGGCTGGGCTCGACGATCCTCGGATCGAAAACCCAAGACGATCGAAACCACAAGTTGAAACGCTTGGGTACTTGCTCGAAACGCCCGCGGGCGCGAGATGCACCACATAGTTCTAAGTTTGTTGATCCACCTATATATTGACCACATAAACAGCGCCACATGCATTGCACCACCTATATCTAAAAAGGTTGAGCCGCGTATATTGCATCACGTGAACAGCGCCACATCGATCTCTTGCTGTTGCTGCACCACATAATAGTGCACCGCATAGATCGCACCGCGGCGTGCACCGCACATCGCCACATCTATTGTACCGCTTAGGAAGTACCACATAGATGGCACAACATAAGCTGCACCACATCGGGCCTTGACGACCCTCTGGCCTCGCGACCTTGGCCCGGCGGCGGCGACGGCGACGGTCGACGGTCGCCGAGGCACGACCTTGATCCTCGGATCGAGGGCCCAAGGTCCATGAATACAAGATCGAAGATCCTCGGATATGGGGTCCAAGGTGCTCGAAGATGCTCAGCTCCATTATCGCGGATCTTCAATCCGAGGATCGAGCCTCGTCGATGGCGGCCTGGGCCCGACGGCGACGAGGGCGATCGACGATCGCCGAGGTTCGATCCTCGATTCTCGGATCGAGGGCCCAAGATCCTTGAACCCAAGATCGATGACCCTCGATCTAGGACCCAATGCGCTCGAGAATCCTCGGATCCAAGATCGAGGATCCTCGATCCGAGCATCGAAACTCGCCGATGGCGCGCTCGATGTTGTTCCTCGGCAAAGGCTGGTGGCCGGAGGCGCCCGGCATCTGAGAAAATCGGCTGGCTCGAGGCGCTCGCGGGCTCGAGGCGCCAGGCCAAGAAGACCGTCGGGAAAACGGGTGAGCTCGGGGCGCTCGGCGAGGGCGCGTGGTTCGCCGTCCGCTGAGAAGCCGTGGGGCCACCCGCTCAAGCCACGCAGCAGTGACCATGGGACAAAGGAGAGAATGAGCGAGCAAGGGTCGCAAATGCGAGCTGGTGGCCACATGTAGGGCCGACGCTTGGGCCACAAGTGGGGCGACGCTGGGCATGAGGATGATGATCGACCGTACCGAAGGGGCAACAGTCTGGCCGCACGATTAGTGGTCAGTGGCGTGCACGGCTGCTGCTGCTGCGGCGATCTGATCGAAAAGGTCAGCTGCGGTTCCGCGAGCCAGCATCGCCTCGTGCCCGCGGTAGGCGCGAAAGCAAAGCGCACCGACGCGCATGGCAGAACGGCGGCAGAGTGCACGCGAGGCGCAATTGCAATCGCCATCGGCGCCAAGGCCGAGGATTAAAAGAGGCGGTGAGGCCGGGAAGAGGAGCTCACCGATGACACTCGGTGCGATGTCGTCCACCCTCCTGCGAGGGTCTTAAGCAGGCTCCACTGCCAGGCAGGTTTGAAGGAGCACCGCAAGACAGCCCCCCCACCGCTCACCCACCGCCCCGCTAATCGAGGCAGAAAAGCCCCACGCAGACAGACGCCTCGCGATCGTGATCTCAAAGCTTGGGGGGAAGAAGGGGGCTCGCAGCGAGGAGGAGAGAATGCGTTGGACCTTGCCCTTGCGTCCGCCACCCGCGGCAATGGCCTGCTCGTCGCGTGCCGCGGCCAGCGCAAGACGCCAGGGCGCAGCAAGGGTGGTTGGAAAAGGCGGCTCCGCGGCAAGGCTAGCGATGCGCTGCAGAAAACCTTGTTCTATCTTCCAGCAAGGCGCGCCCCGTCGCCCACGCAGCCAGCGCGGCAAGGGCACTTTGTGGACCGCAGCGTCAGACCATTCGTGCAACTGCGATTCCCAGCCTCGCAAAGTGCCGTAGCCGCGCCGCCGCGAACTCGCTGCGTTCATGACCAACGCTGATGCAGGGGCCACCGAGCCGTGCGCTTTGAACGAGAACAGGCCTGCCGGTCGATGCGTGCTAGGCGGCAAACGCAGAACCTTGCGCAGAGCATCTAATCTTTGTGCAAGGCAGCGGCTGGCAACGGAAACAGCTGCGCGAGATAGCTGAGCGTCGAGAGAGCGGTGCTGTTGCACAGCAGCAGACCGACGCTTGTGGGCGAGGCCGTGCGCGAGACGTCGCAAGCCCGACCCCACCACTTGCGGGCGGCCCCCGCCCAAACCCCGAGTTCAGTGGCCGCGGGGCCGGACTGCGCGCCCAAGTATTTCGCCTGGCCAGCAATCCTGAAGCCGCCCCACTCAGAAATGTGAGTCCCCCGAAACGCGCGAATGCGAAGGTCTATCTCAGGCGTCACTTCCGCCCGAAGTGGGACTGCAACAGTCCTGCTAGACTGAGAGGCGCAGCTTGACAAGGACCTCGGCACTTTGACAAAACTGGAAAGACACGCGTTAAATCGGCCAGGCAGGGCTGCACCAGCCCAGCATCGTCAACACATCCCCCGGCCACCCCCCGCGGCGACGACGACGACGCCCCCGCCTCAAGATGCGTTTTAATCGGGTCCATTGCGATGGCCCAAACCGCGCCCGAAAGTGGGCAGCCTCGCATAACGCCTCAGCGCAAGTGGAACATGCATTGAATTTCGCCTTGCAGCCTGGCACAACTGCGAGGCTGTGCTGAAAGTACAGCGAGGCAAGCAAGTTCAGATATGCAGAAGGCACGCCAAATCGAGAGAGCACCTCCCGCAGCCAGTCGTGGCCAAGAGATGGAAGCGCTGCCGCTAAATCAAGCGCCACAAAGACGGGGGCCTGAGCTTCGGCAGTCTCGCTGATGCTAGCAGAGCGAGCGGCAGTGTCTAGCTGGAATAAAATTGCGAAGAAGGTTCTTACCTGGCACAAAGCCTTGCTGGGCTTTGTGAGTGCGAGCACGGACTAGTCCTTTGAGCTTCTGATTTGCCGCAGAAGCCAGGATCTTGGAGTCCGAGTTGCGCAGCGAGAGGGCGAATTTGGTCGGGGCCCCGCGGGCACTCATAGGCATCGACGGACTCACTTCCTTGGGCACGAAAGCGAATATGGAGTCATTCAGGGCCTCTGCTGGGGCGTGGTGGCCCGCCATGAGGTGCAGCAATAGGCCGTGCAGGACTTCGATCTGGACCTAAGAAATCATCCATGCCGTGTGCCTATCGGGGCCAGGTGCACTGTGTCGTACATGTCTGAACGTGTCCTTTAGGTTCGTGACGCTGGGCATCGCATCGCTAGGTCGGCCATCTCATAGGCCGGGTAGCGTCGGCCCAGGTGCTGTCTGATCTCCAGCCGGCTGGCCAGTTGCGCCCAGAAGACTGCGTGCCAATGAAGCCGAAGAGCCTCCAAGACACTAGCGGGCTCTCTGGTGGTCGCCGTCTGGGAACCATCGAGGGCATGTCCAGGTCGAATCCCTGCCGGCACAAGACAGCGGCCTCGGGGCCTCCATAGATTAGCGCGGCGGCGGGTAGCCCTGCTAGTTTTGAAGTGAAGAGCTGCCACTTGCAGTCCTCCAACCCGTAGGGCTCGCTGAGCTGCGTGAGCGGCAATCTGGCGGTTAGCTTGAAGCCCGGCCGAGTGTAGCGATCGAAATTATCGGCGGAGGGCACCTGGCACACGAAGTTGAACTTGCCCATCCCGAAGCAGAAGATACCTGGCGCCCTCGTCGGCGCCGGCAATGGGGAGCGACGCGAGCTTCGCATCTTGCCTCCAGGCGGCACGCGAAATACTGCGCAGTGCGATGTTGCGACCGCCTCGAGCACTTCTGTCATTCGCGCGGAAGGGAAGCCGCTGCAATGCATCTCGAGTCTGTTTAGCCGCCTCGATAACCAGGTCCTCCTAGTGACGCCTTCTGGTAACTGGAGGGAAACGGTCCGGCTCCGCTGCGGCCACAAGCCCGCCCATAAACATTATACCTCACGTCGCTGAACACCGCGTCGGGAATGCGACGGTCCGCGGCGTTTCCTGGCGCCTTGTACTTCAGGTTGAGCAGCAACGTGGAGCGGTCGCTGAGCCGCCCCTGGGACATCTCGAGCGGGTCTGCGTCCGCATTCAGACAGGCATTTGCGTCGAGGAGGAAGCGTTCTGGAATCGCGACAAATGCCCTGTCGATGGCGGAGGCGGCGCATTGCTGGCGACTGAAGTGGGTTGGGGCGTCGGCCCGCACCTCCTGCGCCATGTCAGGGGACGCGCGCCAGAATGTTTCATCCGGCTGGCATGCCCGCGTCGTCGGTGAAGGAGTCTGCATCGGCGTGGGCTCGTCGTCACTGAGAGGCCCCCCGTCGCGAATGTTGAAGCCGCCCATGGCAATGAGCGCGCGATGGTGGGGGGTCGCCACGATCCCAGTCAACTGCGTCCGCCCACGCATTGGCAACTAGAGGCTTGCAATGTGGCGCAGCGTCGTAACTGTGAACACTCATGAGCAGCAATGAGCAGTGGCCGCCAGCGGAGTCGATGCGGAGTGCAGCGGTCCGCCCTGGAAGCAATGCCTGAAATTGAACTCGGGTCGCCGAGCAGGCGGCGCATCGCGGTCCCACGGCAGGGCGAACGCTACTCCACCCCCCTTGCCTGCGACGCCTGTGAATGCCGAACGCAAGTAGGAAACGGCGAGGGCGCAGTGAGCACACCAAGCTGTTGGTGTGCGCAGTGTGTGTGTCCTGAAGCATAATGAGTGCGTCCTGGCGCCCTGATGCATATACCGTTCGAATCGGAGGAGTTCCTCACGTCGCCATCGAGCGCGATCGCAGCAAAGTCCCCTGACGCTCCAAGAAACCAACTGCCCTGAGCCTGAATATGCACCCCCATGGTTGATTCGCCGTGGGTGCCACCTAGACCTACATGGGCCGCAGTGATGTGTCGGTGGAGCGAAATTGCGCTGGAACGCGTCGTTGATGCTTTGTCTGTCGATCCCGATCCTGGCGATGGCAGCGCCGTCCCGACGGAGCTGGGCAGCCGCGGAGGCATTGTCCCCGACCCCCGCGCTAACGATGGGGATGGAGTCGCACGAGAAGATCGCGTCGTTGCCCACCTCTCTGAAGACATGTCATTCGCGCCGCTCTCCGAATAGGTGAACGAGCTCCTTCGGTTGTACTTCGCGTCGTAGTGTTTCGGGACTCTTGTCCGCATTTGCGTAGAGCGGTGTGGCGGCGCCGTTGGCGCTGTTGCAGGAGAAGCGCCGCCATCGCCCTCCTTGACGGAGGTCCCTCGCCAAGGAGGCGCTGCGAGAGGAAGCCGCTGCTCCGCCAAGAACCCGCAAGTAGAAGCGCCCGGATGGAACGTCGCCCGCCAGCTCCACGTCGGAGACAACCACTCCTGCCGCGATAATTCATGGCCCCAGCACGCTGCGAACTTCGGCAGGCTGAACCGCTGTCGGGGCGCCGATGTAGTAGAGGTGTGGATCTGGTGGTCGGCCCCAAACCGCGAGCGCTGCCATGTCGACCGGCGGGAGGGTCGCCTCAGCCGTGGCAAGATTGGCTTGGGTGCGTTCGACGTCGGCTCGGAGCTGCTGCTGCTCCTGCTCAACCACGTGGGCCCTCTGGTTGATGCCCCTGGCCGTGTAGTCCAGCGTGTCCAATCGTGCATCCTGTTGTCGAACCTGTCCGAGAACTGCTTGGAATTCGTTGTGAAGGGTAGTGGTGGCGGTCTGCAAAATGGAAGTGGTCTTAGCCTGGGGCCTCGTGGTGGTCAGCTGCATCTGCTCGGAGAAGATAGTCGTGAACCTGGCTTCCAACGCCTGTCCTGCTGCAGCGTTATGTCCGCGAACACCTTGTTGGGTGTCAGGTATGGGTGTCCCATCCACTGGAGTACCGCTAACAGTTGCCCAGGGATCTCGGTCACGAAGTGGATTAGGTCGTGGCCGTTCTGCATCTGGAAACGTGGGGAAGCCGTCTAAGTCCTCCATGAACTGACGCACACCTGCAGCTTGTCGTTGAAGTTGTCGTTGCTGGAGCTGGGAAGCGCCGCCGCCAGATCTGCCTGCACGGCGGGAACCCTGGTCACGTCTTCCCTGGTCTGGATGTCGAGCTTGGACGTCCTTAGGTGCTCGACCCTGTCGATCGCGACGTTGCTCTCGACAAGCGGCAGGTGTGACAGAGACTCCACAGTCACTGCGCGATCCACTGTTGGCACCGCGTCGTCCATGAGAGCGCCGCTGCCTGGGAGTACTGGAATCGGACGAGCTGGAACCTGAGCCGCGATCCGAAGCCATTCGGATGACAGTGGGTGTCGCCGTGAGGCCTTGAGGATCCGCGCAGTCTCTGTCCGAAGAGCAGCGCCAAATCCGCCGATCAGGCGTGTGAGCTTAAGAAGGCTACATCCTCAGCTTCAGCTCTCCTGCGGGGGGGGGGGGCCGGGGGGGCACTGCCGGGGTAGGGGGGGAGGGGGGGGGTTCATGGGGTCCACCCTTTCTCCCCCCCCCCCCCCCGGGAATGCCAAACCGCCCCAAGACGGACCAAAAGGGGCCCATGCAGCTACCAAGACGGTCCAGGAGGCGCCCGAAACGGTCCAAGAGCGCTCCTGGACGCCCAAGATGGCCTGAAGACGGCCCAAGAGGCCTCCAAGACGCCTCAAGGAGGTCCCAAGAGGACCCCCAAGAGGGCCCCAAGAGGATACAATATTAAAGTTGCTCATAGATTTTGAAGCATTTAAACATCATCGTCTTTTCCGTCTTAGAAGTGCCGAAAACGGTCCAAGAGGCCCCCAAGGTCGCCCCAAGACAACCCAAGGGGCCCCCAAGAGGAGCCAAGCCGGTCCAAGAGGGCCCCAATATAGCCCTGGAGGCCCCCCAAGACGACCCCGAAAGGCCCCCAAGATGGCCCCAAGAGGGTGAATCCGAACGGACCCTTCTAGTCCTCCACCCCAAGATGACCCCAAGAGCCCCCAAGATGCCCCCGAGGCGCCCTCAAGGGGCCCCCAGAGGCCCCCAAGAGGTCCCCAAGAGGCCCCCAAGAGGACCCCGAGAGGCCCCCAAAAGGCCCCAAAGGCCCCCAAGAAACCCCAAGAACCCCGAGGCCCCAAGATGCACTCACTCGCGTGCTGCCAGGCGAGAGGTGCACGGCCTGACTTGGTATTGCTCGGAAGCGAAAGCGATGAACGAAGAACCTTCCACCCGTCGCCGTCACCAGTCGTCGGTCGTCGGCCGTCGGCAGCCGTTCACCGTCAGTCGTCGTCGTCGTCGTCGTCGTCGTCGTCGTCGTCGTCGTCGTCGTCGTCGTCGTCGTCGTCGTCGTCGTTGTCGTCGTCGTCGTCGTCGTCGTCGTCGTCGTCGTCGTCGTCGTCGTCGTCGTCGGTTCGTCGTCACTAACTCCTTCGTCGGTCGTCGTCGTAATTATCCCGTTTGTCGACCGTTGGTCGTCCGTTGTCGTCGTCGTCGTCGTCCATTCAACAACAATAACATCAGGAGCGCCCCGGATCGGCGGCACTGGCCGGAGGCCACTACAATATATGTAGTGCTGAAATGGAAGGCGAAGATTCGCAATGGGTGCTAGCTCACCCCTGGTTGTTGTTACAAACGCATGAGCGCAACACTCTGGAAGTATTGAGAGGAGCCTACCCCGCTTCGGCAGTCACTGAATAACCATCTTGGCCTTGAGCCAAAATGGCTACGGGGCATGATGATGATGATACTGATGATGAGGCGAAGAATGAATGAACATGCTGTCTCCCCCTCCCTTGGGACAAATTTGTCACTTTGATTTGTTTCCCGGCAGTCCCTGGGCCCGAAAACGGCATGCGGAATTTGAAAATGGCGAAAACCCTGCTTCGCGACCGTTTCGGATCGCAGGCGCTCTGGGAGAGGGATGCGCGTCGAAACAACATCGGAACAACATCGGAACCGCATCTGCGTGCGCTTCGGAACAAAACCGCGGCCGTGGCCACGATAAACATCCCAGAGGCTCAACAACGGCAGACTATGCCAAGATCCCCCCTCCTCCTCTCCTCCTTTCTTCCCCCTCCCCCGTTCCTCACCTCCTCCCCTCCGCCACCCTCCTCGCCTCTCCCCCACATTCCTCCCCTCCTCGACCTCCCTTCGTCGACAAAGCCCATGGCAGAACGTGTCAAAATCCCCCTCTTCCCCACCTCCTCTTCCGCCCCCTCTTCCTGCTTTCCATCCTCCAACATTACACAATACAAATACTACTCTCCTCTCTCCCCTGATGACGTCCGGAACATGTCCGGCCCCCCTCCGCATATTGTTTTCTTACACATGGGATTCCCGGGAAGTGGGTTTTCGTTTCCCTTGCTTTCGCAATGCCGTTCCCACTGTAGCGCTGGTTTCATATTCGGGATCCTGTTCGTTCCGAATCGTGCTGCGATGGCCTCATTTCCGCACTTCCGCTCGTTCCGCATCGTGCTCTCGCTGCAGCGCTGGCCTCATTTCCGCGCTTCCGTTCGTTTCGAATCGTGCTCCCGCTGCAACGCTGGCGTCAATATTTTCACTTCCATGCCGCGGTATGGTTGTCGCTCTTTCCGAATAGGCCGCAAAATCAAACAAATGTCACCCCGAAAAACCCATCGGAAATTATTGCACGTCCGGTGTCGATTCGTCGACTTTCTGGGCCGCAGAAGCCCCACTGTGAGGCATGCTGTGTCATGCTACGCGTTGATCTTCAGCAACATGCCGTGCAATGGAAATCTATGCCATGCTGCGACATCCGGCTGTGCGAATAGACAGGAGATCTACGCCATGGTGAAAAATGGGAGGAAGGGATGGCCGTCAGATTTGACGCGAACGCACCTAGCTTGTCCACCTCCTCTTGCTCTTCCGGCCCATCCCCCTCCTCCTCTTGATTCCTGATTCCTGTCGGCATTGGTGTTCTCCGAGCGCTACCGTTTCCCCAGGGGCCGGCCAAATGCCAGACCTGGGGGGGGGACATAATCTAAAAGTCGTAAGACGAACAATTAGGACAGACAAGGAAAGGGCGAGAGGAAGGAGAAAGGGATCATCATCATGACCGCGGGAAAAAGAAATTGAGTAAGTGTCGCATGCGCCAAAGTCAAAAAATGGGCCCTTGAGCCTTGGTGTTGTGGCTGAGCCGTGCCCCCCCATCCGTCGAGTCGCCTGGCCCCGTTGGGCCAGCGCTTTGGAGGGCACCCGGGGGGCCCCATTTCCGTAGAGGCCCCCCATTGGAACTGGTTGGGGGAGGGCGCGGCGCGAATTGCTGGAAATTTTGAACAGGCGAGGGACAGGCGGGCGAGCCAGGGCCAACTGTGGAGGTATGATGGCGGTGGGGAAGGTGGCGGCGCAGCGGTGTGCAGCGGCGGTGGCGCCCCCCCGCTCTCGCCAGCGGGGAGGGCGCAAGGGCCTCTCCTTCTGCTCATAGGAACCCCAAGAAAAAAACATCCCTGGGTCAGACGGGACCCCTCGCGTGAAAACGGACGTAGGGTCCCCAACGCATTGGCCCTGCGGCCGCCCGGGTGGTTCCGCCGAGCGCGAGGGACGTTTGCGCCCTCTGGGCGGCGGCGGGACCTCCGACTCTCGCAGAGAGCGGTGGCGGCCACGCTCGCACTGGCGAGTGGCAGAAAAGACGCCCCCCTGCGCATGGGAAGCCCCGCGAAGCGGCCGCCGCCCCCATCGCTGGCCCTTCCCCCTGCCGAAGCAAGAGTGGGGCGCCCGGATCGCGGGGGCGATGGCCGCGCGGGGGGCCCCGCCGTGCTCGGGCGCGGTTTCTCCCATCCGCGGCGACGGCGCGCCGCGCGCGCTGCGCCCTTGGAAGGTTGGCAGGTGGTCGGGGCAGGGGGCGGCGCAGTTGGAGGGCGGAGGCAGTGCTTCTACTGGAGCACTGGCATCTAGAGAGGAAGGGCAGCGCACGGCGAAGAGAGGCCGGCGCGGGCGAACTTGCGCACGAGGCAGAGCGCGAGAGACAACGGCAGCGGGGCCGCTGAGGTTGTCGGCGAGGGCGCGGCCACCTTGGCCACCGCCAAAGGCGGCCCGCGGCGCGCCCCCCGCCCCACCTCTGGAGCGCCCCCCGCCCCCCCCCCCCGCCCCCCCGCCGCAAGAGCGGCGGTTGAAACGGTCGGCGAGGCGCGGCGGGGGGGGCGGGCGCGAGATGGGAGCGGGGCTGGCGGAAAGGGGGTCGGCGAGGCCGTCTCTCAACAGAGGGCGATTTGGGAAGCATTGCTTGCGGGTGAATGCACCAGGGGGGCTGCGTGTAGGATTGCCGCCGCTGACGTCTGCCGAGGCTTCGCGCGAAGCGTTGGATGCACTAGCGCGGCTGCGTGGGCGAGAAAGTCCCGTCGAAGGCCCGCGGCGTAGCGTGCGTTTCTGGCGCGGCCGTCGCTTGTTAGGCCCGAGGGGCTGCCGCCGGCTGCCGTCGGACGCTGGCCCGGAGGCGGCGCGCCCAGCTGCGCCGCTGCCGATCGCATCGGCGAACGCGAGCTTCCGGGCAAAAGAATGGCGCCGAGGCGAAGCGTCGGGAGGTCGCAGCTGGCGCCAGCGACTGTCCGCGCGGAGCATCATTGGATATGGGGCGCGCCGGGCGGGGCGGGCGCGCTGGCGGGCCGCGGCGAGGCCGGCCGCGTCGAGAGGCGTGAGCCTCCTGGTTCTTGAAGACCACGGTGAATATCCTAATTTGCCGCGGGGGCGTCGCGCTGCCGAGGGCGGCGATGTTGTTCGCGCTGGACTTCCCAAGGTGGCCAGGGGGCGGGCGCGCCCTCAAGGGTGGCATCCTTTTGCGTGCCCTGGCTGTTGGTCTGCTTGATTTAGCGCTGGCCCTTCGCTGGCCTGACCGCCGTCTGTCGGTGGTCGGCTGCGGCGATGAGTTTGCGCGCGTAGGGTCCGAGCGGCCGTCGTGATCTGGTCGATGCCGCTGGACTTGATGAGTTATGCTGTCGATTGGGTCGGCGCCGCGGGCGTCCGCCGATTGCGCCGCGGCGGCCCCGTGGTCCGGTTGCATCCTGTTGACTGCGTTGGTCGCATCAAATTTTGCGGGTCCGTCGGTGGATGGGCCCCTGGTAGGTCGGATAGCTGGTCGGGTAGTACTTCGACGTTGGGTTTCTCAAGGCTCGGCGCCCCCTGCCGGCGTGGGTGCCTGTTTGCGGCCGCTGCGATTTGCGGCGCTTGTTGGGGCGGGCGCCGTTGCTGCCGCGCTGCGAATTTGGCTGAGGACGGCGGCCGCCCGTTGAAGCTCTGGAGCTCTTCGCTCTGGTATAGTTCCACATCCCTTGTCGGCTGCTCCTGCGCAAGTGGTCGGATGTCGCTGCGCGAGTGGAGGGTCGGCCTGTCAATCGTTGAATCGGGATTGGTGCGCGCAGGGTCGTGGCGCGCTTGTGGCTGGACTGCGTTCGCCGTGGTTCTCTGGGCCGTCTGGTCTCGGGCCTCGGGCCGTTTGTTTCTGCGTTGCTGCTGTCGAGATTATGATCTGGAAACGAATGAAGGGAAATGGCGTCGGCGAGGGGTTCGGGTTGTTGCGCGTGGCCAACATGATGGGCATGAACACGTTCTGTCGTCGCGCTCGCATGGCGCTCGGCGTCGGCATGGCGCGCGAGCTGTCACGCATAATGTAGGTGGGCATCATCGCGGGCTGGCACTGAGCGAACTGGGCGAGGTGAGTCCGGCGCTCGGCCACGTGGGCCACCCGAGCCTCGCTGTGTCCCTCGCAAAGGAAGTCGTCGTTCAATCGCGCCTCCACGTAGTGCATGACCTGATCGCATGCGAGCCAACGCTTAGGATCTGGCGCTATGTCCAGATCGAAGGTGTTGTTTGTGAGTCGATAGTGTAACTGTTGCATCGGTTTGGGTCCCGCGGAATCGCTGGCGGTGGCTCCGACGGTGCTTCTTGCGATTGTGTGCGACCCTTGGTCTGCGTTGTGCAACTGGTACGGATGCTGTCGACAGGTCGGTGGCGGTGCCTTGTACCTTGGCCCGCGTGCTGGTTCAAAGTGGCTGATGCTGACGATTGGCGTTGGTGGTGCAGCTATCGGCCCGGTGTCCATGGGCCTTGTTGGGTTGGTGGAGCTGCCGTTCGGTTGCTGCTTTACCCCCCTTAGTGAAGGTGCCCGATTGTCTGTGTGGGGTGGGTGTGCAGCACGTCGTGTTTGCGGTGCGGTCGGGTGGGCAGTTTGCTCGGTCCAGCTGTGGCTGGTAAGTCAGGACTTCTCCGATGATCCGTAAGACTCTTTCCTGTGTGGCCAGGTATCCTACCAGCAAAGTCAGCAGGCGTCCTTGTTGGCTATCAATCGTGAATTCACCACGTGGTCGTTGTCCAGGTGGTCCGGGTGGTCCCGCTTGATGATGTTTTCGAAGACCGAAATATCTGCATAGTATAATCGTGCCTGTGGCGATGAAGACCTCGATTTCGGTCTCTGTGGAATGAGTGCCGGTGGAAGAGGAGACTGCAGGCGGTCCCGCGGGGCTATGGGTGGGTAATCGAACATGTGTCCTTCGTCGTCGTAGAATCACTCGTCGTTGCACGGCAAGGCTCGCATCCATACTGTGGCCAGGAAAAAGTTGCTTGGAGCGTCCCACGTATCCATGGTGTCCAAGTTGAATTTCAACTTGGACACCACTTGAGTTCAAGTGTAGAACGCCCAGGTTTACGATTTCAGACATCGTAGACCTGGGCGTTCTACACTTGCTCTTCGCCTTGGTGTGTGTAAATGACCAATGGATGTGGTAGAGGCAGCCAGTGATCTGGTGACGTCGGCAACCTGATGGGCAGCCTCGCTCTGCGCAGTGCGTGCTGCATGCGACTTAGTATGGTGGGTAAAAGGGTGGGGGATGGCATGTCGGTGGTGGAGGGCTGGCTGTATGAGGTGTCGTGGGCGTTTTTGTCAACGTTATCACCCTGTTCGTCATTTTCGTGTGGACGGTGGCGTGCTGGTGTGGTCTGTGTCATCCTTGCTAGGCTAACTGCGAGTTGAACGTAAACGGTATGATGCCGGCACTCGGCGTCCTATTCGTGAAACCCTTCATCTCAAGCTATGCTTGGTACTCGTTCTCGAAGCTGTCGTAGTAGCACGTATCCATGCTGGTGACCTGCCTCTTTGCCTATGCACGTATGTCGGGGCGAAGAGGGGACATGCGGTCGCTGATGCCGTCTACTGTAGCCCTGAATATGCCGTATACCACGATGGATGTAGGCGGTGTTCATGGTGGCGGTCCTCGTCGTGGTGGCCGAGTGAATGTAACGGCCTCCATTGCTTCGAACATGTTCTGGGTGACTGCCTGTCCTTCGACGCCGTCCTCGTAGGTGATGGTCGGTCGACTTGAACTCCAGCTGTCGTCGGCCACTTTGGGTTCCCGTTGGATAAGGGGCCCACTTCTTAGGAAACAACTGCTGGGAGGTCGTCGCTGGAAAGATTAAGGAGGATTGAACCCCATTGCGGGGCTGTTACGCCAAAGTGGGCTTCGGATCAAGCGGGATTAAACCGGATTAGGCGGGATCAAGCGGGATTAAGCCGGACTTCGGACCAGGGCAAAATCAGAATTTGACCTCCCAGGAATTGCATCCGAACACTTGTATCCTCCTTTTCCTCCTCCTCCTTTTCCTCTCCATCCCCTCCTCGAGGGGGCTGGCCTCTGTAGAAGAAGACCAGCACTAGGAGCGCGACCGCCCACAATCCGAGGGCAGAAGCCCAAAGGCGGGCGCTCTTCTGGCCGACGTTGGCCAAGGAGATGCGGCGGAAGCCCGCCAGGTCCTGCCGCTCCGCCTCATCCTCGTCCACCTCGTCCTGGTCGTCGTCGTCCTCCTCCTCGTCCTCGTCCTCCTCGTCCTCCTCGTCCTGGTCGTCTGCATTCCCCTCGCTCGGACGTGCTTTTGAAGGCCAAGCATGGTCGCCAAGACAGGCCTTGGGTGGGCGTGTGTTTCGTTCGCCTCGTCGGGCGTCACCACCTATCCTTCGACGTGTTCCCAGTAGGGCCAGGAAGGTCCTGCCATTCCTCCTCGTCCTCCTTGTCCTCGTCCTGGTCGGGTTCCTCCCCTTCGCTCGGAAGTGTGCGTGCAGGCAAAGCAAGCCTGGAAACGTGATGCCGTTCTCGCGCGCGGTCCGTCTCCCCGCGCCCCTCGCTTTCAATCTTGCGCAGGGCGCTGCGCAATCAGATTGTTCTGCCGTCGGCCGCGGCTGGCTGCACATTGAGATCGGGGTCCCCCAGGGGGGAGGGAGGTGGGGAACAGAGAGCTGTGACAAATGGTTACGCTGCTGTTCTGGGGGGGCGCAGTCGCCCAGGGCAGGCCTGGGGGCAGGCGTCGGCTCCGTAAGCCTCGTCTGTCTTCATCGCTTGCTCTTCCTCGGTCTGGCCAACAGTATCATGTACAACCTTCCTCCCACTCCTCCTCGTTGTTTTCCACCTTCCTCCCATTCTCTTCCCCCCAGCCCTCCAGCTCTTCTGCTTCATCGGCCTCGTTTTCCTCTTAGTATTCGGATTCGTATGTTTTGTCTTCTTATTGTTCTCCTTATCCTCCCTCTCCTCCCTTGAGAAGAGCGGGTGGAAGGGCCTGGGGAGGCTTTATTGGAAGGGCGGTGGGGCGTTCCGAGCCAGATCATCTCGGATGTATGGGGGGCATGGGGGATATTTTCCCCCTCCGCCTCCCCTCTCCTCCTCGTCGTCGTCCTCTCCCCTCCACTCCCGCTCCATCCTACTTCCTCCTCTTCCTTCCTGGTTGCTGTCCTTGTCTGCGCTCTCGCCCTCGATATCCTCCTCTTCATCGAAACTGTCGTCGTAGTGGCCGTCCTCCTCATCTTCCTTCTCCTCCTGCTCATCATCCTTCTCCTCCTTCTCCTCTTCCTCTCAAGCCATCTCCATCGTTTCCTCTCTTCTCGTTGCTCGGTTACCTCTGTGCTTTTCCTCCCCCCCATCCTCCTCCCAACCCATTTTGCTCCAAACTCCTGATCTCTCCTGATTCCTCCTACCCGCCACCCTTCCTCCTTTTCTTCCTTTTCATCCTCTTCCTCCTCCCCTCTCCCCCCTCTTCTCCCTCCCCATCCTTCTCCTCCTCCTCCTCCTCCTCCTCCTCCTCCTCCTCTCCCCCCTCCTCCCTCTCCCCCTCCTCCTCCTCCTCGTCATCCTCCTGCTCCTCCTCCTCCTCCTCCTCCTCCTCCTCCTCCTCCTCCTCCGCCTCCTCCTCCTCCTCCTCCTCCTCCTCCTCCTCCCTCCTCCTCCTCCCTCCTCCTCCTCCTCCTCCTCCTCCTCCTCCTCCTCCCCCCCAAGCCCCTCGTCCTGTCCTTCATCAACTTTCGCTTCCTCTTCCGCTCCTCCCCCCCAACTCTCCCCCTTTCCGCCCTTTTTCACCCCGCTCCCCTCCACACCCCCCACGACCCACCCTCCGGGAACGCGCGCTCGCGGGAAGGAGGGAGGGAAGAGGGGAGGGGAGAAGAGAAGGAGAACGAGAACGGGGACGACAATGCGCCCGTGAGACCCCCTGCGCGACCGTCGGAGATCCCGTGCGTGACCCTGGGCAAGATACTTGTGTACACGGTTTAACGCAGGCGGGATGGGCGGGACTGCAGCAGCGCGTCCTCCCCGTCCGCAGCCATTTGCCTCGGCGGCCCCACGGAGGACCGAGCTAGCCGCACACGGCGAACTGTACATTAGGGTTTGGTCCAGGGGGGAAATCAGTATGGAGAGGAAAAGCGTCTGATCGAACGGTATCGGAATGCGTGCGCCTTGGGTGTGGGCTTTGCGGAGAGCCCAGAGCCCTTTGAACCGAGTGGCTACGGAGGGGAGGGATGATGCCTCCTCCCCCCCCCATCGTTTGTCCTGCTCCCCCGTTCCGTACACGGACAGCAAGACGACCAGACACAGGAGCGACAAGATCACCAAGAGCTCGACCATCATCCTGGGGGGCTTCGGAAAGTGCCGGGAGAGGAAGGGGGCAACAAAAACAAAGGTGGGCCTGTCTCGATGTGATCTTAGGGCATGTCGATGCTCGTTCCGGGACAGGGAGCCACCAACAACACGGTCCAGGATTAAACAACTATCCCTGGGGTAGGGCCGAGAGGTCTGGGGGCCTGAGACGTATAACACAACGTCAGAACTCTGGGCAGGGGTCGGGCGGAGTGAGGGATAACCTCTCGCAATCGGGTTCACTCATGCGGCATATGCGCGTTCACTCATACTCAGGCTGGAACATAATCATAGTTACTGATCGCATCGCTCTCATACCGCCTAGTATCTAGACTCACTCGCTCCCAGACCCAGTCAAACCCAGACCTTCTCATTTGTAGACTCATTGGCATTCAGATCCGATGGTATTCGGACAGATTTCCATTCGGACCGATTCGCACTTATGCACTCCTACCCCGTTGCGGACACATCCATACTCATTCCTACTCATTCACTCATACGGGGTCTACTGAATCGCACTCACACTCAGGCTCGCTGAAAACCATTAGTCACTCGTGCTCAGGCCCAACAACAATCAGACCCACTTGTGCGCATTCACTCATACTTCTTCCTAGGGAACGCAAAGTCACTGTGGCTGGCCTGGCAAATTTCTGTAGGGGGGGCGAGAAGCCAGGCCCCCCCCCCTCCCCGCGTAAAACAAATCGTTAGAGGTGAATCTGGCTGAAAAGAGAAAGCGCTTTCTGCCGCTGCTGGCAAGAACCCCCCCTCCGTTCCAGATTGGGGGGGGAGGGAGAGGATTCCATTACAGCTGGATCCAGCCATGACAGGATTCTGTTAGAACTGGCCCCAGCCTTCTGTAGGATTCCTGTTTGACGCTGGATCGGGCCCTAGTAGGGTTGCACTGAGGCTCGATCGGGCCCTGAACGAATTCTTTTCGGCCTGCTGCCGCACCATGAAAGAGGATGATATTAGAGTTGAACCGGGCACTTCTTTTAAAGCTGGATCCAGCCGACACTCGGATTCTATTACATTGAAGATGAATCGGTCCCTCGTCATATTTTAGAATGCTGGATCCAGTTCGAGTAGCAGGAATGAATTAGAGCTGGATCGTTCCATTGTGGTATTCCGATCAAGCAGGATCAGGCCCTAGCTGGACTCTATTGTAACTGCACCTAAGATTTCCAGGACTCTTCTAGGACTCGTATTAGATCTTGATACAGCCCTGCTAAGATTTGGTGACGGTTCGAACCGCCCCACCCACCCCTGTGGTTTCCGGGGAAGGGCGGTCCCCCCCCCCACACACACACACCCAGTTCCCGGGGAAGGGGAGGGATGGGGTTTCGGCCCACCTCCCACCGTATTCTCACAAAGGAGGGGGAGAATTTGTTCCAGTCGAGCAGTGGAAAATTGCGTTCGCTCCAACCATGGGGCCCCGTCCTTGATCTCCCCCACCCCAAAGAACTGGGGGGATTCAGAATCCCCTCCCCCCGCCCCGCCCCTCCCCCCGCCCCGCCCCGCCCCTGGGGGGATCCCCCCGCCCGGGAAAATTGTTCGGGGGACAAGTCCCAAACACCCCTACAACCCATGGTTTGAGATCACGGGAGTCAGGAACCCATGTGAGAACACATGGTTTCTTTCCACAGGCGAGCCCATGTAAAACTATGTGCGGCCTCTATCCAAGACCCTGAACATGGCGGGCCGCGTGACCAGCGAATTTGACTATGCAGAGAAGGCCCCTTTAGAGTGGATTTTGTTATTCATAATCCTACTCGGGCTAGGTCCAGCTTCAACAGAATCCTGCGAGTGCTCCGATTTTAATAACATCCTTTCAAAAAGGTCGATCAAGCTTCACAATAATCCTACTGGGGTTCGACCCAGCTCTGATGGCATCATACTACAATTCGGTCCATCTCGAACAGAAGCCGTCTTGGGCTGGATCCAGATCTACTTGAAACCCACTAGAGCTCGATCCTGTTAAAATAACTTCCTGCTACGGCTGTGTCCAACGATAATATAATCATATCACATCTGGATCGAGGTCTGGAGGAACTCTAGGCAAATTCCATTAGGGTTCCATCCAGCTGTAGGAGACACTTGCTAGAATCCAGTCGAGGTTTAATCGCATCTCACTAGGGCTCGATCGTCGCCGGCGTCGTCGTCGCCGTCGTCGTCGGAGTCGTCGTCGTAATAATAGTCGTCGTCGTCGTCGTCGTCGTCGTCGTCGTCGTCGTCGTCTTCGTCGTCGTCGTGGTCGGCGTCGGCGACGGTGTCGGCGTCGTGCGTCTCGCGTCGGGCGTCGGGCGTCGTCGTGCGTCGTGCGTCGTGCGTCGTCGTCCTCGTCGCTGCTGGGGGGGGCGGGGGGGGCTCTGGACACCTGAAATCATTCTCCCAAGGAGGGAAGGGAGGATTCTCGACCCGCCCGAATGATTTTCCCGGGCGGGGGGAGGGTCCCGCATACACTTAGAACTCAGATTCGCTCAAACCTGGACGTAATCGCGTGGATCTTGAAGTCGAGTCTATTTCTAGCGTCAAGGGCAACGTTTTTTCATTCTGAGCCGCTGCCTGGTTGCCGCGGGTCCCGAAACAAGTCCGAGGAGGCCAGAACCTGGGAAAACCGACCGTCTCGATTCCTTCGTGAAACGAAGGGCCGACGACGAGGATGAGAAAGATGACCAAAACCACCATGACTAACCACGAACGGCGACAGACGACGGCGCCGACGCCGCCGCAACCGCCGTCATCGGCCATCGGCGACCCTCGGCTGCAGCCGCCGACGCCGCTGCAGCCGCCGCCGCCCGTGACAACGCCAGACATTGCCGACACCGCCGCCGGCACCGCTACAACCGCCGAAGTCCGCTGGAACGCGACGTACCCAGCGGCGTTCGTGCCGGCCGTCTCCGCCACGAGCTGGGCTGGCAGGCGCAGCAGGGGCATGACCCAGGCTGCGAGGCCCTCGGGCAGCGCCCGGATGGCCTGGCCGTCTCGGGACGACGCCGCCGTCGCCGACGTTGTCGCGGTCGTCGTCGCGATCGCCGCCGTGGCCGCCGCAGCGCCGCGACGTCGCTGCCGTCCTTCGCCGCCGCCGTCGTCGCGGTCGTCGTCGTCGTTACTGCTCCGCGTGGCGTGCCGCGAAAGCCGCGGCGGTAGTAGTGGCGACGGCGACGGCGACAACGACAAGGGCGACGGCGGCGACGGCAGCGACGGCCGCGACGAGGGCAACGAGGACCCGAGGCACCTGGATGGGGCCGCTGCTGAAGGGGCGGCGGGTCTGTCCTTGGCAAGGAAAGGCCGGCGTATCCAGATGACTTTTCGGTCACCCAACTTCGCGCTGTGCGCCGCGCGAAGCCCTTGGTACGCGGACATACGCATGCAATCGCGACCCTCTTTGTGGAATGGCAACGTTCCAGCCCAAGCCGCGAAGTGCGTAGCGCATTCATCTGGGCGTCCCGGCGGGCGACCTGGGATGACTTTTCGAAGGTCCAGATGCCTACGGGTTCTCTCCTAATTTTATGGGGATTTTCGTAAGTTGGTTTCCGATGCTGTCCGACATCTTTGGGTGTTCCCCGAAGCCCTCGGGAAGCCTGGCCCAGGCGCTCCTCAGGGGGTGGGCGCGCGCCTGTGTTTATTAGCAGCGCTCACAAAGGGCTTTGGGCGAGGGGGGCGGCCATTCAAGAAGTCAGGGGGTTCCTCAGACACTCTCCTGTCAGCCGGGGGTTGCTGAAATCAACTTTGGAGCCCCATGGGGCCCTCTGGGCCTTGTGAAGGGTGCTCTGGAATCCGTTGGGGCCTCCTTGGAAATCCTTGGGGGCATCCTGGGCCACGAGCACTGCCGGCAACACCTTCCTCTCAGAGGCCCTCGAGGAGCCCGTGGTAAAAGCCCTCCTGCCCCTACTTGTGTTGCACAGTCAACCCGAATAAGAAGGACGCACGATGAGGATGCAAGGGCCTTGGAAGGCCATGCCGACACTTTGCGAGCAGGGCGCGACCAGCGAAAGTGACCAAGGATTGGCCGAAGGAAAGGACGTAAGGGTGACTTTGGAAAATTGTTCATCCTAATTATGCGGGTTGACTGCAGCGAGGGTGGTGTCATGGTCGGATTGGCTCAGGATGCGCTTCAGGACTTCCACGGAGTATCTAGCGGCCCCCGTTTCTCAGGTGAGTGTTAATGCGGGGGGGCACGCAAATGGAGGGGAATGGCCGTTTCCCAAAACGAAGCAATTGGAGGCGAAAGCCCTTCTCGCAAATGGTACGTTGCCCGATTTGAATATTTCATGTCAGACGGCGGCTCTCCCACGTTTGCGGCGCAAACCTAACTAACGTGGCAATCAAGTTGCGCCACGAAGGTCGCGCGAGGCAGCCTCCCGCTCATACATTTTGATGAGCAGCGCCTGTGGGCGACCAAAACTGGCAATGCATGAAATTGATCCAACAGTGTCCCTAAACCCTGAATTGCCACAGTGGGCCCAAAAATTGCTCAAAAGTGTCCCTAAAGAGACCCAATGCTGAAGTGCACTGATAGAAAAAAAAACCGACAAGTGCATGATCTTGACGGCGGGGCACGGCGGCCGCGCGCATTCAGCCCAGGCGTCGCCGCGCAATCCCTTGGGTCTGACATTGCTCCATGATCTAGAGAATGCCAGATGCTTCGCGCGAGTAGATTTCACTGCGCAGTGAACCGCTGGCACAGTCCCTGCGCCGAACATGTTCAAAAAGGTGTAAAGCAACAGAGGGCCCCTAAAGGGTCCCTAACGTGCGTGCCAAATGTTCTGCTTTCTTCGCCCACCATTTCTAGACCCCCCAAGTACCACTCACCCATTGTGTGACGTTCGGGAATATGGGAAGCCATGGAAATCTTAGAACGTGCCATTATCATGACCTCTTGCTCCAATGATCAAAGAGCGTAGGTTGCAACGCACAACAAACACACCCCTCCACTTCAACGACTCCGGAAGGCTCCGGCCACACCGCGCCGCCCTCGGTAGGGCCTTTCCCGCCGGCCCGACATCGCGCGCACGCTGGCTCGCTCACCCACTCGCCACCGGCTCCCTCGGCGCGTCACCTCGGAAGGCCTGCGCTCTCGAGCGGGAGGCCGCCTGCCTTTCCTAGGTCCCGATGGACGAGGCTCGCAGATCCCGCTGGGCGAGGCCCGTGGCCGTGGTTGGCTGCCCGGGACGCCCAGACATGGTCGCGCCCTGAAAAATCAAGACCGCAAGTGTTTGGCCGTCTTGGGCCTCTAGGATGAAAACGACTCAGGATGAAAAGCCGGTCCCAACTAAAGGGTCGGGACTTCCGGGGACCCCGTACTGAACAAATCAAGACATGCATGTCTGGGAGGCGACCACGGGGGCCCAGGAGCAAGCAAGAACGGACACTCCAGAAGCCAGCGGACAGCGCAGACTGGCCGACTCCTTGCCACGGTGTTTTGTTCCCCACATCTTTCATCATCATGATCATCACCACCACCACCATCATCATCAACATCGTCAGCATCATCATCAGCAGCATCATCAGCATCTTTATCGTCATCATCATGCCGATTATTATCGCATCATGACTGATCATCATCGTCTTCATGATTACAAGCACTCGCTCACTCACTCACTCACCCACTCGCATCACTAACTAACTCAACACCCTGCCATGATCATCACAATCGTCCTCATCACTATCGGCAATATCGAACGGGATCTCGACTGTGAATGAAATGCTAAGAAGTCTCAGACGGAAGCCCCGTCCCTACGGGCCCACACCTGATGCCTTTACTCCGACGCGGCCAACCTCAAATGTATAACTGTCGTCACTTTGGGGGTCTTGAGGCCTGAACCTTGAGGAAGCCCTGTGCGGGAGCCTCTTTCTGTGAGAGATTGGCGAGGAAATTTGCAGCGGGAGCCCCGTTCTTATGGGGACCGCATTTCATGTTACGAATCCGGAGCGACCACCCTCAAACCTGTAAATGTCGTCACTCTTGGGTTCTTGGGGACTGAATTTCGAGGACGTCTCGATCGGGAGCGTCGTCTGCGAGTGAATGGCGAGGAAGTTTCGAGCGGGAGCCCCCTCCCTATGGGGACCGCACTTTGTGCTACGAAGCCGAGGCGGCCATCCTCAAATTTGTACCTGTCGTCACTTCTGGGATCTTGAAGCCTGAGCCCTCAGGGAGTCCTGAGCGGGAGCCTCGTCTGCGAGTTCGTGGCGAAGAAGTTTCGAACGCCCCCTTCTTGTGGGGACCGCAGTTCACGCTGCGGAACCGAAGCGGCCGCCCTCATATCTGTAACGATCGTCACTTTTAGGGTCTCGAGGCTTGAATATGGAGGAAATCTCGAACAGGAGCATCGTTGGGCATGTCTTGAACGGGATGGGCATGTCTTGAACGGGATCCTTCGGAATGCGCCAGAAGGCCGCAAGATTTTCCAGAACTCGTGCTTTTCCCGTGGGTCCACATGGCGGGAAGCATATGTTGCGGCGAACCTTTTGGCGACAAAAGGCTTGCACGCCATGGGCTCTCGCAGACCGCTCCACCAAGCCATGAGAAAAAAGGGAAAAGAAAGACACGAAACCAGGAAAATAGCGGCGACGGTCGGGCGCAAGAAGAAACCCCTGTGCATCAGCCGGCTGTGGTAACCCGTCGTCGGCCGAACCGGGGAACGGGGAAGCCTTTGTCGCCGGACCGCCGATTGCAAACGATCGGTGGCCGAATTGGGGGCATGGGGGGTTCACGACCGTGCAGGACGAACTGAAGAAAAATGTTGGGCTCGTGTAGAAACAACGAACCACCGCCGTGTCTTTCGAGTTTCACCCAACTAAAAGAAGAACGTCGGTACGAAAGCAGCGCAGGGCCAACTGTCGCCCCCGCATCCTATTGCAGGAGTCCGGATGCAGGTGCGCAGCTGCAGGGGATCCCAGATCGACCAGGAGGTCGCCGAGTTGCTGCTACAATGCAACGCGCCGACGGCGCTGACGAGGAGTTTGTTCATGTTCGTGCCCAGCGAACAAAGCCTCACGTGGCAGAGCTCGGGGCCGCAAGTCGTGCGCCGCTCGAGGTTCGCGCTGACGCGCGCGTCGTCGTCCTGCCTGACCTCCACGCTGTCGCAGGGTCAGACGCTGCGCGAGGGAGTCACCATCGCTGGCGCCAGGGACGGACGGACGCTGGCCGCACGGGCATGCCAGACGGCCGGTGATGGCTGCACGTCTACGTCACGTTCACCCGCGCCCCGTGCATGCGGAACATGCTGATCCTCCAGCCGCCCTCGCGCGAGGGTCTGGACCTCGGGCCGACGGCGTCCCTGCGGAAGGCGTTCCGGGCATTCGACGAGAAAGCGGTGAGCTCAGAGGCTGTGGCGGAGCAGCTCGCGAACGCAACAGGGCAAATCGGCGCGCACGCCCTGGCAATAGAAACTCGATGCGCGCGTCCTTCCGACGGAAATGCCGGAGGTGGTGGAGGGGGAGAAAAGACAGAGAGGATGTGGCAACGAAAAAGGCGAGAAGAGGCTGAGAAGAGGAAGACGGAGGAGGAGGGAGAGGAGGATATTTCTTCTCGACAACCACTACCGCTGGGCCAGCTCATAAGTGACCTATGCCGTCCAAACCGACCGTCACCCCCGATCTCTTGGGATGGGGGTCTTTGCAGAGCTTGGGCCACAATTCCTGGCGCCTCGCATTGTATGAGGACCAGGATTTCTGATTCTTGCCTTCACCAGAGCGCGTGCCTTGGGGCGCGTGAAAGCACGGGTCACCCAAGCCTTTGAACGACCCTCCCGAGGTGTAAAAGAGACAAGGCTGACAACGACGCACGAAGCGGCCGTCGCCATGCTCGGCCACGATCCACCTATGACCGAGTTCACGAAGTGACTTCGGCTCTGCCAAACTTACACAGCGTCCAGGAGGAGGACGCCCGAAATAATGGGATCCCATCATATATTTCCCGCGTTGCCAGAACTTTCCGATTAAATTCCACTAGCGGGGCGGCCTCGGATCCT